TAAAGTGGTTATATCCATTTACAACTAATGAGGGACATGAGTTCTAGCCCTCTCACACCTCTGCCAACATTCAATATTGTCAGAGCTTTAATATGTTCACCCTCCTGATAGGTGGTATTTATTCATCTGCTTTCTAATGTAATAACAAAAGAGGAATACCATATATTAAAAGTCTCTAGGGGCGCCTGGGTGGCTCAGTCAGTTAAGCGGCTGCCTTCGGCTCAGGTCATGATCCCAGGGTCCTGAGATCGAGCCCCGCATCGGGCTCCCTGCTCTGCGGGAAGCCTGCTTCTCCCTCTCCCACTCCCCCTGCTTGTGTTCCTGCTCTCGCTATGTCTCTCTCTGTCAAAAAAATAAATAAAATCTTTAAAAAAAAAAAAAAAAAATCTCTACTTCCCTACTTCTAACTACATCAAAACTCCCAGGGCTCCTCCAAAATGCCCATGGTTTTGTCTCCTGTACCATGACCAACTCACTGACTGCATAATTCTTTTGCACTCATCACTGCAAACAGGGAAGACACCAGTTGTCTAAAATTCAATAAATACTAGCTGTAGGTTGATTTCAAAGGCTTGGAAGGAATGGGCTCCTTTCTAGAGAATTTTTCAGACTGTGTCAGCTAAGCTGCCACTATCGTAGCTGGTCTTGGCATCTGCCCCCCATCAGGGCCCCTGCCTAACTTTCCAAACATAGCTTGCTGGCGTCAGTAAAGAGAGGCTTAGAGCTCCCCAGAAGCTTTGCCTATGGACAGAAGTGGGGGAGGTAAGTCTCAGAGGCCACAGGAGGTACTTGCAGCCAGGCTCACCCTCCTACGTGCAGACAGGCACAAACCACTGCAGGGGCGGGGCACCGCACCACTTGATGGCCCTGCCACCCTCCCCTCCCGAGCCGAGAGGCCGAAAGGCCCACCAGATGTTGCACGCTGCCATTCGCTTGGCAGCCCCGCTCACCTTTCCCGAAACAGCTTCTTTAATGAAAGCCCCGATCAGGCCATTCATTTATCTAGTCTAAGGCTGGCTCTTGGTGAAAAATCCAAGTTCCCAGAAAGTGTGCTAGTATTAAGAACAGTTTTCCTTTAGCTCTATTCCCAGCTGTCCTAGAATTGAGGTTTAAAGTGATGACTCACGGTCCTAGAGGACTTTAAAAAAAATTTTTTTTTAAGTAATCTCTGTGGGTCTCAAACTCACGACCCCAATCAAGAGTTGCATGCTCGGGGTGCCTGGGTGGCTCAGTTGGTTAAGCAACG